AGAATTGCTTGAACCCGGGAGGCAGAGCTCGCAGTGAGCCGAGATTGCACCACAGCACTCCAGCCTGGGTGACAGAGCAAGACTCCGTTAAAAAAAAAAAAAAGAAAGAAAAGAAAATGAATGTGAATCAAAGATTCTACACATAGCCAACCCAGCATTCAAATGTAAGGGAAAGAAAGACTATACTCAATCTTTCTGAGAGAGTTATTCAAGGATGTACTACTGTAGCAAAATAAAATGAAGGAGATATATTAAGAAATGATATATTAAGAAATGGAAGGGAACCAGTAAAACATGTATTTAAGCTATGTGATACTTTTTAATCATAAATCATAATTCAGAATTAAAATCCCAAAGTAGGCAGGATAGCACAGTTGAAAGAGCACAGCTGTGGCACTGAAAGAGTGTTTACTTAAATTCTCTGAGCCTCTAGTTCCCTCATATATAAAATACTATACCTGGCCAATAGTACAGTATTACAGTAATAGTACGAACCTCAGAGGGTCATTGTGATGCTGAAATAAGACAATCCTTGTAAAGTACACCCACAATGCACATATATATATATCTGCATATATATTATCACTTTACATATTTACATATAAAATGAATGATTTCAACATGGGATGAAGAGGGAGAGAAGAGGTAAGTGAAGTCTTTGCCTAATAAAGGCAAAAGAATAACTCTAGACAGAGAAATTTTAAAAGTATAAAAATATATGTTAAAATTTTAAGAGTTGTGCTCACGTCAGTAACATATATACCAAAATTGGAACAACACAGAGATGATTAGCATGGCCCCTGCACAGGAGTGACACACAAATTCGTGAAGCATTCCATATTTGTGTACTTGCTAGAAACAAAAAATTTAAAGGTTACTCCTAAAGAACAGAACTGTGTAACTTTCAGACTCCCGGACGATGCACCTCAAGAGTGAGACATGGACAGGTTCCTTAGGTGGCACGTAGCATAGAATGTTTTTAAAACATGGCTATAGTCAATCATTGTGATTACACTGAGTGGGGTGGCCTGTGCCTATAATCCCAGCGGTTTGGAAGGCAGAGGTGGGAGGACTGCTTGAGGCCAGGAGTTTGAGGCCCCCCTGAGCAACATAGTGAGACCCCATCTCTACAAAATGTTTTTTAAAAAGCCAGATGTGGTGGCTGCTGTGGTCCCAGCTACTCAGGGGCGAGGCAGGGTGGTTACTTCAGCCCAGGATTTGAGGGTGCAGTGAGTATGATTACGCCACTGCACTCTAGCCTAGGCAATGGAATGAGACCCAGTCTCTTAAAAAAAAAATTCTGATTATGTTAGAGCAACATGTCAGTTTGATACTATCACATCTCTACGTCTTCTCTTTCTTACTCTTGTTAACACTTAAATAAAAAATAAATAAATAAAGAGGGAACAGGCTCCAGACAGGCAAAAAGGTCTGGCTACAAGGTAATAACATCATTTGGTATTTTTTGTAATTCTATTTAAGTTATTTTATTTATTTATTTACTTTGAGATAAGGTCTGGATCTGTCACCCAGGCTGGAGTACGATGGCACAATCTTAGTTCACTACAGCCTCCACCTTCAGGGCTCAAGTCATCCTCTCATCACAGCCTCCAGAGCTGCTGGGACTACAGGTGTGCAACCCCATGTCAGGCTACTTTTTTTTGTATCTTTTGGTAGTGATGGTCTCATTATGTTGCCCGGACTGATCTCAAACTCCCAAGCGATTAACCCACTTCAGCCTCCCAAATTGCTGGGATGACAGGGGTGAGGCACCATGCCCAGCCTATTTATACTGACTTATATTTACGGAAGGTGATACTGGTTTTTCCTTTTATAGTAATGATATAAAAATCTTACTTTTAAATGAATTGATTTATCTGTTTAGGTGAGTAATTAGGTAGAAAATATTGGCCAGGTGCTGTGGCTCACGCTCTAATCCCAGCCAGCACTTTGGGGGCTGAGCACATGGATTACTTGAGTCCGGGAATCTGAGATCAGCCTTGGCAACGTGGCAAAACCCCATCGCTACAAAAAATAGGAAAATTAGCCTGGCACAGTAGCATGCACGTGTAGTTCCAGCTACTTGGGAGGCTGAGGCAAGAGGATCACTTGAGCCCGGGATGCAGAGGTTGCAGTGAACCGAGATCACACCATTGCACTCCAGCCTGGATGACAGAACAAGACCCTGTCTCAAAAAAAAAAAAGAGAGAGAGAGAGAGAAGATAGTAATTACTGCCACTGGGATGCATTGTGAAAAAAAAAAAAATTAAAAAGTAAAAAAAAATGGCTGGGCGCGGTGGCTCAACCTGTAATGCCAGCACTTTGGGAGGCCGAGGTGGGTGGATCACCTGAGGTTGGGAGTTTGACCCAGCCTGACCAACATGGAGAAACCCCGTCTCTACTAAAAATACAAAAAATTAGCCAGGCATGGTGGTGCATGCCTGTAATCCCAGCTACTTGGGAGGCTGAGGCAGGAGAAATGCTTGAACCTGGGAGGCGGAGGTTGCAGTGAGCCAAGATCAGGCCATGGCACTTCAGCCTGGGCAACAAGAGCGAAACTCCATTTCAAAAAAAAAAAAAAAGTAACAGGTGGTATGCAGATATTACAAAACTATGAGAATGGCATGCAAATAACTAGAGTTTGGCAAAAAATTGAACAAGAAAAATTCTGTCAATCCAAGAAAAGAAGGAAACAAAATAAAGTAGAAAAATTAATTACAAACAAATCAAAAATCACAATAAAAGTAAGCTGGGGTAAATCCTTTTGTCTTAGTCCATTCCAGCTGCTATAACAGAATGCCAGAGACTGGGCGGCTCATAAACAAATTGATTCGTCACAGTTCTGGAGGCTGGGAAGTCCAAAATGAAGGCACTGGCAAATCCCGTGCCTGCTTCCCAGACTGCATCTTTTCGCTGTGACTTCACTTGGCGGAATGGGCAAGGGATTTCTCTGGGGTCTCTTTCTAAGGGCACTAATCTTATTCATTAGAGTTTCACCCTGTATCACCTTGGGAATTTGGATTTCAACATATGGATTTGGGGGACATAAAAATTGAGCCCATTGTACTACCCTCGAAAAGAAAAACATTTTTCCCCTTAAAAAAAAAATCCAGCTATGAACTACCTAGAGAACTACATGCCCCTGACATGGGGACTATTACAATTCAAGGTGAGATTTGGGTGGGGACACAGAACCAAACCGTATCAGATGGTTCTTTAATAAAGATCAATAAAATGGTCAAACCTTTAACAAATTTCAGTAAGAAAAAAGGAAAGAAGACACATCTTTTTAAAAAAATTAATGAAAAAGGTTTCATTACTACAGAAATAAAGGACTTTAAAATTGTTAAAAAAAAAAAACTATAGAGCATAGCTTTATGCTAATTTGAAATCAGTGTTTAGATGAAATGGATTATTTTCTAGGAAGACATAAGTTACAAAAAAGACTCAAAAAGAGATAAAAGATCAATTTTTTTTTACAGTTGAATAGCTCCACTTAAATATAACCAGACAAAATTCTTTATGATTGAATTTTTTCAAGCTTCAGGGAACAGATAATGTTTTCACTGAAGAAGGCATTAGCTAAAAAAATAAAATCATAATAATCTGGTTTGTTTTATTTGTATTTTTAGGTTTCAGAGCATAAAAAGATGGAAAGCTTCCAATTCATGCTGCCAAGCTAGCAGAACTCTGACAGCAATACCACAAAGCAGCACCAAAAAAGAAACCTATAGGTTAATCTCACTTGTGGAATATATAAATACAAAGTGGAAGTCGAGGCTGGCTGTGGTGGCATGTGCCTATAATCCCAGCACATTATAGGTGGGAGGATTGCTTGAGCCCAGGAGTTCAAGACCAGC